TATCTGTTTTGTTTATATTGTAAATAATATTCTTACATAAAATTTGTTGGATTTAATTCACATTGAAACCTTTGACCACCTTTCATGATCTATCACATCTCCCTTTGCGGGCAATGATAATTAGGCGAAACAGACGACAATACTCGCTTCGCCCCCCCCCCCCCCCCCTGTGTGAACCGCGGTCCGAAGTGCTGGGAAGCGTCTGTTGGCTTGCTCCGATTGTCTGCTCGGGTGCGAAGTGCCGCTCGGGGACCGGCTGGCGCCGAGGCTCCAGAAGTCTCCACTGGCTCCAGGACTCCGCGGCGGCCACGCTCATGGGTCTTCCCTCGCACGTCTTTAACGAGGTGCACCACACACACACACACACACACACACTACACCACACCTGCAGGTGCCGGGTCCCATGCAGCTGCGTGGCCGTCCTCGGCACGCACGCACTCATGTACTGGTGCTGTGTACCACGGCACCCAGGACACGTCGGCCAGCCCAACAGGAAGCCGGACACGATGCATCCCGACGCGTGGCACGCGCGCGCACCGGGCTCCGATCACGCGCTTTCTAGGGCGGGTCGCGGGGTATCGAAACGATACCGGAACGACGTGTGAAATGCAAAATTGGCGCGGTCGCGATATCTTATCAAACGTAACTTGCCCTCGCCCTACGAACCGCTTGGCCAGCCTTGGTAAACGCTCAATTCAAGCCGTCGGATCGGCGGGGTGCGTCGCGACGGCGACGCTGCCGTCCGTCCGTCCGTCCGTCCGTCCGTCCGTCCGTCCGTCCGTCCGTCCGTCCGCCAGTCTGTTTGGTCCGACGAGGTCACGGTCAAGGTCGAGCAGAGGATTGCGGCGCGCAAGCCCCCCCCCCCTCCGCCTCCCCTCTTTTTCCTCTCTTGCGGTCCTGCACAGCCCAGCACAACCTCAAACATAAATCGTACTATTCGTTGTTACCGTGACGTTGATTTCCGTTGCAGATGTGGATGGTGGTGAAGCTGCTGGCGGTGCTGGTGGTGCTGCTGGCCGTGGGGATCGGCGTGGTCTGGCAGAAGGTGTTCGCGCCCGGGCCGCTGCCCGTGCTCCACGATGAGTGGTGGGGCCCCGGCCAGCCCAAGAACATGGGCGAGGCAATCACGCCCTTCAAGATCAACATCCCCGACTCAGTGATCGCCGACCTGAACGCCCGCCTGGACCGGTGGCAGAACCCCACCAAGCCCCTGGAGAACGCCCAGTTCACCTACGGCATGAACACAGACTACCTCAGCAAGGTGGGTGCTTCTGGGTCCAGCTGGCCCATCATAGTCCAGACTCATGACGAGAGGCGGTTTGTAGAGCACGACCAGATTGCCGAAAAAAAAACTCAAGTATTGTTCTTGCCGTATTAAACCGTGGCGCGTTTCGGCCCCCGGCTAGGCAACCCGCCGGCACGCGTGAATGCGGTACAGTAACTGTAGAATCCGACAGGGGTTTTCAGCCACTTTGTATGGGCTCCGCCTTATCATGGCTTTACTATTACCTATTTTTACAGGTGGTCAAGTTCTGGCGCAAAGATTACAACTGGAAGAAACGCGAGGCCTTCCTCAACTCGCTACCCCAGTTCAAGACCAACGTCGCCGGCCTCAACCTCCACTTCATTCACGTCAAGCCGAAGAATGTGCCCGCCGGCACCAAGGTGCTTCCCCTCCTGTTCATGCACGGCTGGCCCGGGTCGGTGCGCGAGCTGTACGCGTCCATCCCGCTGCTCACCACCCCCAGGAAGGGCTACAACTTCGTCTTCGAGGTGAGCATGGAGCAAGGTGCACGAGGAGCGGGGCTCGAATGTCGACCCGGACTGTCTGGCCTCACGGTTTTCTTCCTTACCTGACTGCAGGTGATCGCACCGTCCCTGCCCGGATACGGTTTCTCGGACGGAGCCGTCCGCCCTGGCCTCGGTGCCGTCCAGGTCGGCGTCGTCATGCGCCAGCTCATGCAGAGGCTCGGCTTCAACCAATTCTACCTGCAGGGAGGTGACTGGGGCTCGATCGTGGCCACTCACATGGCAACTCTCTACCCCAACATGTACGTTCTGGATGCAAAGTATAGGAGCAAATTTCACTTGAGTTTTATTTTGATTCTAATCTGTTTGTGCTCTTTTTTGTAGAATTCTTGGAGTACACATGAACATGTGTTCTTCAATGCACCCCCTCACCCAAATCCTTTACACAATTGGTTCAATTTACCCCCTGCTTGTTGTGGATCCTCCGTATCAAGACCGGTTATATCCTCTCTCGAAAACCTATTCACAGTTGTTGGAAGAATCAGGCTACTTCCATATACAGGCCACCAAGCCAGACACAGTTGGTAAGCGATGACTACATGTTCTAAAACAACAGTTATTTTATTATTATTATTATGAGCAGAAAAGTAAAAACTCCATAATCCTTTAGGTGTTGCACTGCGAGATTCCCCAGTTGGATTAGCTGCCTACATTTTGGAGAAATTTGCTGTGTGGACCAATAAGGAGTACAAATACCTAGCTGATGGTGGTATTGAAAAGAACTATGCCCTCACTGATCTCCTTGACAATGTAATGATATATTGGGTGACAGACTCAATTACTACATCGATGAGACTGTATGCTGAATCATTTACCTCAGCTCAACTTGGTCTTGGCATGGACAAGTACGTTGGAAATATGTCAGGAATGTTACCTTGTATAACATAAACGACTGTATTAAACCACTTACTCACCTTTTTACAGAATCCCTGCCAATGTCCCAACTGCATGTATGGCAGCCCCAGAAGAACTTTTCTACAGCCCAAGAGCAGCACTACTTTTGAAGTTCCCACAGCTTGTACACTTCTCACATCCGACAAAGGGTGGCCACTTCTTGGCATTCGAAGAGCCAGAGATGTTCGCAGATGATGTTTTTGAAGGCATGTCAAAAATACTTTCTGGACAAACTAGCTCATGAATAAGCTCTCTATCTGTTTTGTTTATATTGTAAATAATATTCTTACATAAAATTTGTTGGATTTAATTCACATTGAAACCTTTGACCACCTTTCATGATCTATCAACAGTCACACATTACAGAAAAGACAAGAACAACAAAAAATATTTAAAAATAATTCCAATAGACATTCTTAGTCAGTAATTATTAAATTTTGAAACTGTTGTTTTCTTACAAACTCCTCTAACTTCAGGCATAAGTTAATCTAGAATAAACCCTGTATGAATTAAAAATAAGTTTAGTCAGTCTTTTATATGGGCTACTGGTCATTTCCAACTTGGTAGTATATTGAAAACTTTTATAAAGCGATATTTGTGTTCTTTACAAATGTAAAGAACCACTTCCTGGATCAAACAAAGGACTGTAAAACTACTACCAATTTGCAATGAATATATAAATTTCTTAAGCAATTCACAGAGGTAGGAAAGATAATTTACCAATAAATATCACAAACATAGTCTGTTTCTTATGCTTGGCAACTCCAATTTGGCAGTGCAATTTACTTTAAGTTGTGTTTCCTACTGAACGAGCAGAACGGGTATGGTCCAGTGAGATGTGGGCTGACAGTCGACGATACACTGACGATGATGTCAGATCTTTCTTATTTCTGAATCAAAATAATGTTACATAATTATAGTAGTGAAATTATCTTTCCAACAATTTAAAAGAAAACATGATTGAAACAGACCTTTTCAACTCCTCTTGTTTTAACTGTTGTTTGAACGTCAGAGCACTTTTCATAAGATCTTTTATATTTGAAAAACTTGCTTGTGCTTTCTCAATGGATTTAACAGCACTGCAAACATAAAGAATCAGTTAGTCTTTAGATCTTATCAACTCTCAACCAAGAGATAGGTAAAATGTTTAACTAAATCATATGAAATGAAAGACATACCTGACTCCATACTCTACATCATAGAGACAACCTTGTAAATCCTGATTCAAATGTAAAACTTCCACTCGCTTTTCAACCATTGGAGGCAAAGACTTGCGAACATGTTCTTGAAGGCGATAAAAAGCAAGGGATGGTTCATTGGCCACTATATGCATATTCTCTGATATCTTTTCTGTACCTGAAAATTTTAATGTACATGAGGAAATAACTGAAGAAAAATGAAAAACTAGTTTTAAGACTAGATGAAGAAAACTAAATGATGACAATATGCTTACCTTTCTTTATGCGAGTCTCCAGTTCTGAATCCAGCGGAAAGGAAGACATTTCGCAATCCTGTCTTTGTCATCTAAGATAAGAATTCAGAAAAATATAAATTTATACAGCGAGACAAATGATGAAGAGTTGAAATAACTTTCAGTTTCTGTGCTTCAAAACTTGTCGTCTGTCGAATTTGTTTGTTTTGGGGATTTTGGGTGTGAACCTTTCCAATGCCAATGCGAATCTGAGTGCAGCAGCCGGTTTGTTTCAGAAACGCCAACCCTGCTCACTGAAGTGTTTTGATAGGAAGGATAAAATGTTAAAAAGAGGCCATGAATATCTCATTTAGACTAGAAAACAATTTAAAACATGTACTTTTCCTTCAAAACTAGTGACTTTAAAGAGAAATCTATCTCTCCTCTGATCACGTAATATCTCGCAAAACAATCGTCCGCGTATTGGTACACCACACCGAGTAGACTAGTTAAATCCATCAAAACACTCAATACTTTTTCTAAACTTTATTTTGTAGTATTTTAGATTGAAGAATGTGATTGCATTTATGTTCATCTTTTCGTGGTAAGATTTATGTGTGTAATTTTTGCGTTCTTTGGCACCGTCTTTTTCGCGGTTTGGTTAAGAGGCACTTGTCACTGTCACTTGAAACTGCTGCAATCTGCAATGCAGCATTTTGGTGAAATCTGTATTTAGTTTTAGTCCTACAAAGTACGATTATCTTTCTCTCCTTTCTCGCATTGTTTCTTTACCTTCATTTTTAGAAATTCATAGAATGAAACATTTTTGAATTCAATAATATTAGGTTTTTGTGTTTACAGGTTTGGAGACGTAGCCATGAGGAAGTATCAGCAGCTTCTGCTGATCGTGGTGTCAGCTGTTAGTGTTGTGGCACTTCTTTTCTACCATCATGAATATCATCGTCTACGGTACGTCCTTGAGGTGCTCAACTTCTTTGGCAAGCCAGCTGAAAATCTTCAATGCCCAACTATAAATGAAACATCGCTATCAAATAGAGTAAATGGGTTCTCTTCACCTCTCCCTGTCTGGGTACCTGTTGGTGATAATCATTATATTTACTCAGCTTTCTGGGAACGTAATAATGTAATTGTTGTTGGTACGGGGCCAGCAAACGGGGGCTTTTCTGGACGCAATAGTTACCAATGTGAAGTTTGGTTGGAAGGAAAGGATGAACCTATTCCTGGAAGAATTCATGCAAGCATCATTGAAGGACAGAAAAAAAAGAAAGTTGGTTTTTTGGGCTACACTCTGTCTTGCGAAATTGAGAAACTTATTTCTGTTGTCCCTGAGGAGGTTACAATGTGGAGAACGCAAGACAAGGTGCCAGCCAAAGTGTCTCTACCTGTCCATTACATGAATCTGAAACGTTTAGAAGATGATGATCCAGCTTTGTCTCTGACAGTTTGTGTGCTTCCTGATGACTCTCAAAGAATCTCCTCATATGCTCTCATATCTTTTGTTAGTTATTACTCAATTCTTGGAGTAAGTGATTTTATTTTATATGGGGGTAGTCGATACCACCATGTTGCCATTGAGTTGCAAAAACATGGTGCTAGTGTGAGTGTTATTCCTTGGAACTTTCCTGTGAGTGGTGATGGTCGTGCAGAACTGGAGAGGGACTGTCGAAGCCGGGGCTGGCCTGCTACTGGTAACATAGTTGTCCTTTCTCTAAATGAATATATTGTACCAGTTATTCATAATGATCTTCTGCGTATGTTAGATGATTTGGATGCTGGGAGGAAAACAACTTCACGATTTCAGTTCTCTACTCAGCTATTTTGTACCAATATACCTGATGACCCAGGCGCTGAACCTAGTTGGCCAATGTTTATGCACAAAACATACTATGATCCTGCAGCTAAAACAGGAGCTGTAAACATCTACCGACCTGGAGCTCTGACAACCAACAAACCAATAGAATTGAGTACTTATACCTTATCACCCAGTATAGCAGCTGTTCACAAACTGTCTAGTTGTGACATCCCCCCTGGAGCATCCACAGATTCATTCCAGTACAAACCTAATATCAGGCGCTTTGTTAGTGAGTTGATGAAATCGGGATTACTGAACGTGCAGGTTGAACCAAGAAAATAGTAGATTGAAACTCATGATATTCTTACAATTATCTCAAGGCTGCTTGATATGAATCAATATTTACCTAGTGCTTCTAGTCGTAGACTGCCACTGACTAAGAAACATTCTCCATTAGCTCTTAGATAAATGTTGGAAGGTGGGTGATACTTCAAGACTGAGTAATGAATGGCTGTTGCAACTCATGTTTGTGGTATCAGATTGCACTACATTTCCTTAAAATGTACCGAGAAGCTTGATTGTCCTGTTGATTTTGCTATCTTTTCTCGCCAGCACTTGAAATGGTTTACTAATTTGAAGTCAGACTAGACTATCTTAAGGTATTATTTGTTCCTCTGTTTTGTTATAATTATTATTTATGTGTTAAGTTGTAATTTATGTCCTTAGTTTGTTAAATTTTGGGAAAGTTAGAGTTAGACATTCTAAAATGTGTTATGCATTTCTAAATATTTATTGTACATGTCATTGGTTTTGTACCACAAACCAGAAGCAATGTGTATTTCTGTTTGTTTGTTTTTAAAATGAAGTGTAATAATTCTACTATAATTTGCTCACTAGAAAAAAAGTGTGGGAAATGCAATTCAATGCATATGTGTGATGCTAGCATGAACCTGCCACCATGTGTGCCTAAAACTCAGAAGCAGACTTATGTTGCTGTTACCACAGACAAGCTTGAAGAATGTGAGCTGATGTCTTTTCACCAGATATTGCATAGTGTTGAAACTTTTGGTTTTGTTGTTCAGATGTGTAACAAATATGTTCTTTTAAGACAACAACACTGTAGATTAGCAGGTATGATATTAATGTTGGGAATGTTTCAAAAAAGTTAAAAGGAGTGTCCCCAACTGAAAACGAGCTTCCATTCACAACTACTATATTGACAATAGTTGTCTTTAAACATTTTCAATTATACGTAGACACGTAACTATATTGCAAATACATTTAAGAGAGTTGGTGATTTGATGTTTGTCTTAGATTTGTTGCTGTTTTACTAGTGCGGAATGTGGAACCCAACCATTGTTGTTCCATTTTTTGCACTTGTAGTTTTGTAGTAAAGGGGAGGAAAGCGGTATTCTGCTAGAAAACATGATTTTTGAGACAATTTGCTGAGATTAAACAAATCTTGTTCTTAGAAGAGTTGCACTCGTCTTCCAAGTTCAAGAACAAAAATTTGATGGATGGGTGCATTTTAGAAATGGAAGTGGCCTTATTTGTAGTATGACCAAACATTGAAATGTGTCTAAGCAGTTCATATGAGTACAGCATTACATTTTAAATTTATCTGCAGTAGTATTTGCATCACAAAATAGTGATTTGACTATGTATATTGAATAATAAATATAGGAGTTTTTACCAATTTGTGATATTGTACAAGAAGTTTGCTCAGCACAATGCCATTAGAATTATTTAGAGATCATTTATATACATGCAGCATGAGGTAAGCACTTATCTCATGTTTATAGTTTTGATTGATATATGGTGAGAAGCACTTGCACACACCTACAGTATGATTAAGCCTACTTGTCAATATCTTTTGGATAGTAAGACAAAGTGTTTACTGCTTCCAGCAACTTAAAATGCTAAGGCACAAACCCATGAATTTTTTAATACTGGCTCACTCTTTACCAATTTTTTTGAAATTTGTTGATAATTGCACTTAGAAAAACAGTGTTTTATACAATTCAAAGTAGTTTTGTACAAAAGTGATAGTCTGTTAAACCATTTGTTAAACCATGTTTTCATGTAGTTGGAACTGCCTGTTGTGAATTTTCTTATGTATTTTGGGATAATGTTGTCCAGAATCTCAGAATTTTAGTATTTATCTGACAATCTTTAAGAAGGATATTTTCTTTGTAATATTGCTAAACAATAAAAGAAAAATTTGCCAATATTGTTCTTGGGCAGAATGGAGCAAGGCTTACACTGGCCAAAAAGACAGAACAGCATGTTATGATTCAGTTAAATTTGTACAGAGCTGTACCTCTATAAATTGCCTAATACCAATAAAATTCTTGAAACAGTGTTAACTGTAACAATGTTAACTGTTTATTATTAACGTAGGTAAGTAAGAGATTTTTTTACTTTCCTATAAGTTTATTTTTTTTTTCAAAAATGGTTCCTTAACACTTATTACAGTTAAACTTTTCTTCACTTTTTCAAAGTAAAGTAGATGAAATCATTGTGGAGCTTGGAGTTTCTTAGCAGTCAAGGGCTCTAAATCACGAATTCCATTTTTGTCAATCACTTGCACTTTGAAATTTGGCAAATTGACAATGAGTCTTTTGTGAATTTCGGTAACACACTTTCTAAGAACATCATATGCCTCATCAACCGTCATGTCTGGAATGGATGACAAAATTGGTTTGTTATTGGATATGATCAATGGACAGATAAGAAAACGCATTTGTGATTAGTGAGACTTTATCCTGCATAACTTACCTTCACGATGGAAGCGGTCCATGATACCCATGCAGAAGAAACCACCATATCCATGAGTCGCAAAGGGGACTTTTTGGAAGGAACCCAAGTAATCGATGAAATACAATCCTGATTCCTTTGAATTTGTGTCATAACCACCAAGCAGCATGTTGACCATGTAAGGGGTCTGTTGAGAAAACAAATAGCATAACTAAAAATTGAAACACATCAAGGGAAGTGAAAACAATCAAGTAGAGAATGGCGACATACACTGCTCCGTAGGTGCTGAGCAAGAGTCTTCCTAGTGAAGTTAGCTGCTGCTGAAGGTGACAGCTCATATCCGTGACGCATCTTATACAGCTGAATATTCTTTGCAATGAATTCAGCAAACTGGGTGGTATCTCCAGACTCTCCAGTGATTCCCATGGCCATGTGGTTGGAGATTTTGAATAGCTTGTTCTCCTCTGAAAATAGGAATGGAAACAAAACATACCTTTAAGAAATATGTCAGAAAGCCACAAGTGACATTTCACAAAGATAAGAGAAATTCGATGATCTAACGATTCTACAATTGGTAAAGTTAATTTTTTAGACAATAATAGATGTTCCAAAATAAGCAAAGCCAAGTAAAATCAGAAATATGCCATTAATCAACAAATAGCACAATCATTGTTGGGGTTAGATGTCCATACTCACCATTATTCATGACAATAATACTATGGGCGTTTGTCTGATCAGCAGCAATAATTGCAAAATCTTTGCAGGCTAGTCCAAGGAGGCACTCCATTTTGAGGCGATTCAATAAACAAAAACCGTAAATGAATTGGGAAAGATGATCTGCGTTTTGATCACAGCACCCGTCACCGCTACGGCTACCGCTACGCTACGACTACCGCAACTGCAACAATCGAACCACCACTGTCGAGGACCGATACTCTCCAACCGACAAACTATGAGAAATATGTCGAAACTTTCTGTGCTATGAAAATAAGGTAAGGTTGAGGGCGTACATCGTTAATGTTTTGTAAATTTAGACCATTTTGGCTAGAAGACTATTTGTCCTGCTGCTGATGGTCCTTGTTTTGGAGGGGAAATGCGCGACGTGATCTTTCTGACAGAGAAGAAAGGTTGTCACCTAACCTTATTCATCGCAGCCTCTCCCGCCGGCAGCGCAATGGTATTCGCGTTTTTAAGCAGTTCCTTGTAGACCGAAACCTTGACACCTCAGGCCGAACATGTACGCTGGTGTCTTTCTGAGCCTGTCAGTCACATGACGTATGTACATGGCACGAAGTTTTCTTTATCCGCCCCCCCCCCCCTCAGTAGAAGCACCAATTCATTAAAAATGTGCTTATTCAATGCGCGTGGAAATGCACATAGAAGGTGACACATTGATCCCTAGTAGCGCCAATGCACTTAAATGCGCATTTAATGCGGCAATGCGCATTAAAATGCGCAAAAAAGGTAATGCATTTTTAACGCGTTTAATGTGCATTACGCGCATTAAGCGCGCATTACGCACATTAAATGTACCTAAAATGTGTTACTTTGTAGGCGCATTTCAATGCGCATTACCGACCGGCGCTGCCCGGGATGACGCTTTCAAAGCGCATTACAGCATTTAATGCGTATTTAGTGCGCATTGCGCGCATTTAATGCGTCAGCAATGTATCACCTTTTATGTGCATTTCTATGCGCATCGAAGCGCATTTAATGCAGTGTGGCGCTTCTGGGGTTGATACAAGAAACTGCTTTTATTTCAGACTTTGAGTGAGTTTTGAACTTTTGGGCCGTAAGGAGCCGAGGGCAGCGAGCATATAGGCAAACCCGTCTGCACCCGTGCCTGCGGTACAGTGTCAATACGGAAGTGCGCGGCGTGAGTCAGCCACCTGGTATGGCGGTATATTTGCGAATTTCAAATGCGCATAATGCGTATTAAATATGATATAATGTTAAACCTATTAGGCCCTATTTTGATGTGCATTACCGCATGTTATGCGCATTTATGCGCTACTCGGGAGTATACCTTCGTACGAGTAGGGGTGTTCTTAGGAACAGAGTGAGCAAATGACCGAACGCGTGAACGAACCGGGTTACGTCACCCAGAGAACTGATTAGCAATTCTTCAACTTCAACGAGGGTTTTAACGACAATGGCAACCATCATATGGTTGGCTCAGGGAGCACTATAAAATATGCTTGATGCAACCTTACCGTGGTAGTGAGAACCAAAAATATGGTTTTCATCACGTTGTCACTGTTGTCTGAACCATATTTTATGGTGCTCCCTGAGCTGACCATTAGATGGTTGCCATCGCTAATAATTTCTCTGGGTGGTTAGTTCTTACATGGCACGTTTCACCGCTGCGTCCACGAATCGCTGTTCGTCACCGCATTCGCGCCCGCGCCGCCTTCCCGCGTAGATAGCGATTACCGAGTAGATGCCGTAGTTTGGGGGAGGCATAGATTTACCCCGCGCGGTTTGGGACTTCATTCTGAGGGAGCCAGGGTGTGGGGGGGGGGGACGTTTCGCGCGGGGTATACACAGATGGCTGGAGAGGGGATGACGGAGGGACGGAGAGAGGGGGTGGCGGCGGGTGTGAGAGAGACCGGCTGGGGCACAGTGCGGCCGCAAGGTCAAAAACGATTAAAGATCAAGGCGGTCAGTCAAGCGACCCATTTCTAATTCTCGCTTAGGGCCCCGCTTCGTGTCCCTGGCTCCCCGCGGGCCGCGCCGCGCTGTGGGCATGCCGAGGGAGGGCATGGTCCGGAGGACCCGAACATCCCCACCGAAGCACGTGAGACGCGGAGGCTCCCTCGGCAGTGGCAGCCGAGCAGGAGCGGCGTGGTCCGGGCCCCACCCGGCCAGCCCACCCCTCACGGACCCGAAGATGGGCGGAAACGTCCGAACCGGGGTTGCGTTCGGCTTTAGGGGCTGCTTCGCCCGCGGGGGGTGGGCGGTTAGGTTCTGCCCTACCCTGCTCCGCCCCGCCTGGCCGGGCTACGCCCCACATCCAGGGCCGCCTCCGGGGCGCGGTGGCTCCGGCTGGGTTAGACTCAGCGGCCGGCCCACCCGTTCGTACGCACCCTTGCATCAGGCCCTCCCTGAACCTCCCCCTCATCGACCGAGCCGAGCCGAGCCCGACCGGCCGAGCCGAGCCGATGCGGGCCGAACGCAGGCGCGGTGAGGTGGGCGGGGCCGGGCGGGGGCTGTGCGTCGGAGGGGGTTGTGTGCCGCTCTGTTTTTTGAGCGGGAAGCAGTC